GGTATGGGGGCAGGTGTAGCACTTCCTGCGGTTGCAGGGAAAAGTGCTGGGTGTGGTGGGGCTGGAGGGGAGTGTGGAGCGGACAAGGGAGTCATGGAGACAGTGGTCCCTCCGGAAAGCAGATAAGGGTGGGGAGGGAAAGATTTCTTTGGTGGTGGGGTCGGATTGCAGATGGCGGAAGTGTCGGAGGATTATGCGTTGGATCCGGAAGTTGGTGGGGTGGTACATGAGGACGAGGGGGATTCTTTCTTGGTTGTTATTGCGGGGACGGGATGTGAGGGATTAGTTGCGGGAAATGTGGGAGACACGGTTGAGGGCGTTCTTGACCACTGAGGGGGGGGAAGTTGCAGTCCTTGAAAAACAAGGACATCTGAGATGTACGGGAGTGGAATGCCTCATCCTGGGAGCAGATGCGGCGGAGGCGAAGGAATTGGGAATAGGGGATAGCTTTTTTGCAGGAAGGTGGGTGGGAGGAGGTGTATTCTAGGTAGCTGTGGGAGTCGGTGGGCTTGAAATGGATATCGGCTTCTCGGTGGTTGCCTGAGACGGAGACAGAGAGGTATCAGAGATGGTCCAGTGAACTTAAGGTGTTGGTGAAGTGGATGAACTGTTCGAGCTCCTTGTGGGAGCACGAGGCGGCGCCGATACAGTCATCAATGTAACGGAGGAAGAGTTGGGGTTTAGGGCCAGTGTAGGTACAGAAGAGGGATTGTTCCACGTATCCTACAAAGAGACAGGCGTAGCTTGGGCCCATGCGGGTACCCATGGCCACCCCCTTTGTCTGTAGGAAGTGGGAGGAATTGAAAGAGAAGCTGTTGAGGGTGAGGACGAGTTTGGCTAAGCGGATGAGGGTGTCAGTGGAGGGGGACTGGTCGGACCTGCGGGACAGGAAGAAGCTGAGGGCCTTTAGGCCATCTGTATGGGGAATGCAGGTGTATAGGGACTGGACGTCCAGGGTAAAGATGAGGTGTTGGGGACCGGGGAATTGGAAGTTCTGGAGGAGGTGGAGGGCGTGGGTGGTGTCACGGACGTAGATGGGGAGTTCCTGGACCAAGGGGGAGAAAATGGAGTCCAGATAGTTGGAGATAAGTTCGGTGGGGCAGGAGCAGGCGGAGACAATGGGTCGACCAGGGCATTCATGTTTGTGGATTTTGGGAAGGAGATAGAAGCGGGCGGTGCGAAGTTGGGCAACAATGAGGTTGGAGGCAGTGGGTGGGAGGTCACCTGAGGTGATGAGGTTGTGGATGGTTTGGGAGATGATGGTTTGGTGCTCGGGGGTGGGGTCATGATCAAGGGGGCGGTAGGAGGAGGTGTCGGAGAGTTGGCGTCTGGCCTCGGCGATGTAGAGGTCAGTGCGCCAACTGTTTAGAATCCACATTGGTGAATTGGCTTAGGGGATCAAGTAGCTAAACTATTGGATGATACAAATATAAGTAACAAATTGGGCAGAGAATGGTATGAATTTTCAGATGTCTGCAGATGGGTTGTGTATACATAAATTTTATTAGTTGGAGCATAATATGGGGAAAATGAGATTCTCTACTCTAATGGGAAGAATTAAAATGCAGAATATTATTTTAGTGGAGAGAGGTCTCATAATGCTGCAGTCGAGTCCTCCAGCGTGAATCGTGACAGTTTAACACATAGGTGCATCATTAATTAGGAAGGTGAATGAAATGTTGTCCTTTATTGCAAAAACAATGGGCTAAAAAAGTACAGAATTCTTTCTACAATTTTTCAAGGCATTGTGAGACAATCACTAAAGTGCTGTATATTGGTCTCCTTTAAATAAGGGTAGGTATACTTGTATTAAGGCAATTCAGAAAAGCTTCCCTCAGTTTCCTGAGATGAAGGAGTTGCCATCTGAGAGAAGTTGTAAAAGTTGGAGTCATAATAGTTTAGAAGACTGAAAAATTATCTTATTGAAATGTAAGATTTTGAATAAGCTTGATTTGGGGAATCTATGGCATACAATGTAAAATTAACATTTTGACATGGTGATGAGCAGGGTTTTCACCTGAGGGCTGTTATTCTTTCAAGTTCTACGCAGTGGAGTGGAGCTGAAGATAGTTGGGCCAAGGACAATACTCTGACAATCTCGTGCAGTGATGTCCTGGGACTGAGGTGATCCCTCAACATCTGCAGTCAGCATCCTTTGTATTGGGTATGACTGCAATCAGTGCATGGTTTTCCCTCCGTTGCCATAACCTCAATTTTGCCAAGGGTCCTTTATGTTTGAATCATGTATGGGATGTGGGTCATGGTCAGCAAGACTGGAATGTATTGCTCATCCCTAGGTAATCTTAAAGTGATTGGTTCTCTAGGCCGTTTCAGAGGGCAGTTAAGAGTCAACTACATTGCTGTGGATCTAGAATCACATGTTCGTCATACCAGGTAAACATCAATTTTCCTTGAAGGACATGAATGAAATAAATGGATTTTTACTACAACAACAGATGAACGTAACATGGTTGGCATTAGGTTAGCTTTTTAATTTCATATTTTTCTTAACTGAATTCAGATTTCACTGTCAATGATGGCCGGATTTGAACCCACATCCTCGAGATGTTAGTATGGGTCTCTGGATAACTATCCAACTATATTACTACCATGGAACACTCTCTTGCTTTAATGTTACCCTTGGTCAAAAGTTTTTGTATTGTTTGGGATGGTCACACATGCCTCCTCTGCGGATTTCAACTGTTTTGTCCATGATTTGACCATGGCTGTGAGGAGGTCAGGAGCTTTGTGGCACTGTAGAACCAAATTGAGTGTCAGTGAGCAGATTATTGCAGTGTAAATACCACTCGATAGCACTGATCTTTTCACTACTTTGATATCAGAAAGTAGACTGATGGCCTGCCACCTTCCCAGTTCACTCTTCGCTGCATTCCCCCACCCTTTGCCTTAATTCAATGGTGGGATTGATCAAAGGGCTGATGGCAAGCAAGAAACCTGATGGCCTCTGGCCACAAGCAGGACATCTGCCCTGTATCACGAGTGTGAAAGGAAATTGCCCTTCATGCAACCCGGAAGCCCATCAAAACCAAACTGGATGTTTGAATAGGATTGAATAATAATTAAGCTTTCTGAAATGGCCACAGCAGGGTTGTCATAAATCCACCAACTGAAGGACCGGCCAACTGATGTAACTGTAACGCTCCACCCAGAGTAAATGTTTCAGGTGGTCAGGGAGTTGGAATTTCACATCGTTTTTGTCTCTCCACAGCTGCTGCATGATCTTCTGAGTATTTTTAGATGATACATTGATTTAGTTAAAATATCTTGAAACTTTTCTTATAGTCTAATTTTGGTTCTTTTGCAGACATTATTATTGACTTCTCTAAATAAGTCGACCTGCTCAAGATGTTGGAAAAATTTATTGTATCTGCTGAATTCTGGAATTGCTTTCAAATGAATTGTCCAGCAAGTAAAATAAGTAAATATTTAATTTAACCATGAAATTTAAAAAAAAGCTAGTAATATCTTAGTTTGTGTCGAACAAAAGTTGTCTAAAAAATGTTTATTTGTGTAATTAAAATGTTTATTAAATCTTCAATTTTTGTATTGAAAAGGCGTAATTCTTTGTCACTGTTTGAAACTAGTATCTTCTAATTAAGTATTGTAAAAACTTATTTTTCCTGAAGAAGGTCTAGGCTGATGAAATTTAGGCAAATGGTGTTGGTAATAAATAATGTGATGCAGTATTCAGTGATGTTTTTGAACAAAAAATGTGATCACCCAACAGTTAATTGGTCTTAATGTTTCCCTGTATCATCCATCCAAATGTGTGATGGTATGTATTTTATTGTATTGATGCTCAACAAAAGATACTAAAATGAGAATAAGAGTGACTGCCCCATCCTTCAAACGTTTTTGTTCTCAGGCAAAAAGCATCTGTTCTGTTTGTTTCCAAAGGGCATTTGACAAGATACCATGTAGGTCATTGTGTAGACTGGAAGCTTATGGTGTAGGGGGTAGATGGCTGGCAGAAAACAGTGTGCGCATAAATTGATTTTTTTTTTTCTGGTTTATCAGGTTATGATGAGTGGTATCCTGTATGAATCTGTTGGGGCGTCAGTTTTTTTTTAACTGTTTGGATAAATCTAGTTGAGAGTGAAAGCACAGTTGATAAACTTAACAAGAATTACTATTTATTATAAGTAGCTACTGAAACAGTTATAAACTGTTGGCCTGTAACACTACAAATTAAAACACTTATCCTCTAATAAACTTTTCCTTACATGTATGCTGACAGCAAAACAGGCAGGAGAAATAGATTATGAACAGATGAAAATTGGGAAGGCAGTGGTTCATATGGGTTGCTGAGATGATTCTTATGCTAGTCAGAATGTTCTTCTTGGTAGTCTTTCTCTGGATGCTTCCACTGGTTTGCAAAGACCACGTGGTTGGTTCACTCACCAAAGGTCCATGACTTGCCAATTAAGAGTCACAGCTGGCAACAATTGCTGAAGGAAAGATAAATTTCATCAGGTTTAAAGTGGGCTTTGACTGCAGAGAACAGAGAGACAGCTCCTGAGCTGTTGGATATCAAGCTGTTGAGATACCTTAGAAGCAATCTCATGTTTGTTAGCAGGCAAACTGGCTTTTGTCATCAATAACCGATGACTAGTCTGTAAATCAATGAACTTAAGGTTTTTGTGGTACAGTGGTAGTGTCCTCACCTCTGGGCTAGAGGTCCTAAGTTCTAGTCACACCTGCACCAAATGTGTTCATATGATATAACAAGGTGTAGAGCTGGATGAACACAGCAGGCCAAGCAGAATCGGAAGAGCAGGAAGGCTGACGTTTCGGGCCTAGACCCTTCGTCAGAAAATCATATGATCATATGTTCACATCGTAGGTTTTCTTTCAGATCAATCAACTTGTTACCACCCAGCTGCATCTGCACAAAACACCTTGGTTTTAATTCTTCTGCAACCCAGAATTCATTTACTACTTGATCAAACAGCTTTGCTTGTTTTGATTGTCAGGTTACTTGTTTTTCAAAACATGTAACAATCCATCTAAAACACTAGTTGTACAATGCTTCTTTCTTATTTCAGTTCACAATTTTAAAAAGCATAAATAAAAAGACAGTCTTTACAGTATGGAGATGCAGCAAGTAATTAAGGCTAATTGAATGTTAGCCATGATAATGAGAAGAGACAGATGAAGGGATGTGATGCTTCAGTTATACAGGACAATGATGAGACCACATCTCTGATACTGTGTGCTGATCTGGTTTCCTTATTTAAGAAAAGATGTAAATGAATTGGAGGTGGTTCAAAAGAGGTTTACAAAATTGACACCTACAAAGAGTGTGTGGTCTTACGATGATAGGTATGACAGACTAGGCTTGTTTCCACTGGAGTTTAGAAGAGTGAGAGGTAACTTGATTGGAGTACATGGGTCCTGCATGGGTTTGACAATGTGTACACTGAAAGGATGTTTCATCTTGTAGGTAAGGGGATCAGTTAGTTCAGCTGGATGACTGGCTTACAATGCAGAGCAGTGCTTAACAGCATGTGTTCAATTCCTGCAATAGTTGAGGACTGTCCCCACGGTAGCACTATGGCAACTTTACCTTTTTTAATCCAGAATGAGGTGTTTTTTTTTAAATTTATATCGCCATTTGGAGATTATTGTTTTCCAAGGGTTGCGTGAAATGAGAATGCCCCAGAAAGTGGTGTAAATGGGGTCATTGAACATTTTTAAAGCAGAGATAGTTGGTTTATTGCGAGGCAAAGGATTCAAAGATTATGGGAGCAAGTGGGAATGTACATCTTCAAAATGCAAACAGATCAGGTATGATATTGAACAGTGGAGCAGTCTCAAGGGACCAAATGGCCTGCTGCTATTACTAATACATATATTCATATTTAAGGAATGTGAAATGAATTATAGAAACTGTTGAATGGATACATCATGCCCATCAATAATGAGAGAAATGATGTTAGTTCAGATGTGGGATCCGTTGGTCAAACTGGAGGATAGAATTTGTCATACCTGTTCTTCTTTACTTTTATGTGATTTGTGCCAACTACGTTTGGACATCTACAGTTGAAATTTCACCTTGACCTAATTTTTATATCAAACAGATACTTTTTACTAGGTACATCTGAGAAGGCATTTTCCAACAAATATCTTTTACATCACCCATCATTGATGTATTAATTAAATCAGATAATCGCCTGTACTTAGAAACGAAGTTGTTCTCAACTCAATATTTAATTAAATATGAATATGCAAGTTTCATCCTGTTTCCTTATTTAAGGAAAGATGTAAATCAATTGGAAGTGGTTCAAAGGAGGTTTACTAAATTGATACTTAGAATGAATCTGTATAAGGAGGAACCAAACTACTTTTGATATAGAGTCACGGAGTTGTACAGCATGGAAACAGACCCTTCATACCAACTCGTCCATGCTGACCAGATATCCTAAGTTAACCTAGTCTCATTCGCAAGCATTTGGCCCATATCGCTTTTAACTCTTCCTATTCATGTACCCATCCAGATGCCTTTTAAGTGTTGTAATTGTACCCACCTTCACTACTTTCTCTGGCAGCTCAATCCATCCACTCCCCACCCTCTGCATGAAAAAGTTGCCCCTCAGGTCCCTTTTAAATCTTTGCCCTCTCACCTCAACCGTATGACCTCTGGTTTTGTAAATAATTTGTGATTGTTCTATTGGCGTATGATGTATAATTATTTTCTCATCATTATAACAGATGTTCACATCCAGGAAGTCTGAGTTACGATCTGATTTAGTTTGTATTAAACTGAAATACATCTTCAAGAAAACATAACTGCACGCTGTAAGAAATCATAAATAATATTTATATTTGCATTTTTGTAAGAGCAGCTTGATGTTTAGATTTAGAGCTTGTTAGTTAGTTCAGTTGGCTATGCAGCTGTTTGGTGATGTAGTATGACGTCAACAGCGTGGATTCTATTCCCACACTAGCTGAGGTCACCATGAAGATCCCACTTTTTTGACCTTGCCCATTTCCTGAGATGTGGTGACACCCAGGTTAAACCCACCACCAGTTGTGTCTCTCTGTTGAGAGAGCAGCTGTATGGTCTGTTGGGGCTATGGCAACTTTACTAGATGAAGTTTTTCTTTGCCCTAAGCAGAAGGTCCAGGAATTTATTTATATAAGTTAGTCTTGTAGATACTTAAAAACTTTAACATCCAAAATTTAATAAAATGTTATTCAGTTTGTGATGTGCAGGTTTGTAAAGATATTTCCAAAGGCAAAAGATTTGGGATGTGCCTGTAAAGCTGTTCTAAGGTAGGGGAGTTAAAAAGCTGTCAGTGGGTGCACTGATCCAAAAATATAGTTCAGAAAGATAAGTAGATATGTAGTAAATGTATGGAAACTGTTTTAAGCACACTTTTTATTATAGAATGTGACTTTAAAAGCCCATACCTGAAAGCAATATTTACTTGTCTTACATTTTATATGACTCTTATGATGTTTTAGTATGTTTAATTGAGGAGTGAAGGTTGCACCTAAAAGTCAATAATCCACCTATTCCTTCATTGTTGAGAAATTGAATTTGAAATGAAACAGGAGTGGTGTGTAACTGTATAATCAAAATTACACAACTTTAATGAAATTGGAGCCTTTTGCCTGCAGTCTGTCTGGATGGATGGCAGCTGTGTGGAAGTATTTTATTTCTTTACCTACTCCATTCAAGTTTTTATTTCAAGTTCGTGCGTCAAATTTGCAACCCCAGTTGATGATCTGTTTTGATAATAAATCCAGTTGTATACGGGAGACAGCAGACAGAAGTGTATGAATAATTAGACTTTGTAAATTTGCATTATTTTCTTATTCTCTGTAAAGTATTGTTTTAGTTTTAGAGCTTCAGGTTTGAGAGGGAAATGGAATCAGTACAATCAGGTGTGATAGGAATGTGAAAGAGGTGGAGAAATTGCATTATTGATTAAGGAGAATGTTATAGCAGTACTAAGAGAGGACACCTTGAAGGGTTCATCCAGTGAGGCATTATGGGTAGAATTTGGGAATAAGAAAATTGCAGTCACTATAATGGGGTTACACTACAGGCCTCCCAAAAGCCAATAGACTTGGAGGAACAGATATGCAAGCAGACCATGGCAAGATGTAAAAACAGGGTTGCAGTAGTCACAGATTTTACTGGGACTCCCTCAGTGCCAGAGACTTAGATGGGGCAAAATTTGTTAGATGCATTCAGGAGGGATTCTTAACACAATATGTGGATAGTCTAACATGAGAAGGTAGGAACTGCCGATGCTGGATAATCTGAGATAACCAGGTGTAGAGCTGGATGAACACAGCAGGCCAAGCAGCATCAGAGGAGCAGGAAAGCTGACGTTTCGGGTCGAGACCCTTCTTCAGAAATGGGGGAGGGGAAGGGGATTCTGAAATAAATAGGGAGAGAGGGGGAGGCGAATAGAAGATAGGTAAAGGAAAGATAGATG